AAACTGGGACCCTTATTCACTGTTGGTGGGAGTGTAAAATGGTGCCACCATTGTGGAAGGCAGTATGGCACTTTCTCAAAAAGTTGCAAATAGAGATACCACTTGACCCAGCAATTCCACTACTGGGAATATATCCCAAAGAGACCATAACTGACATCCAAGCAGATATATGCACACCCATGTTTATCGCGGCTCTGATCACAATAACAAGGAGTTGGGAACAACCCAGGTGCCCACCAACAAACGAATGGATAAAGAAGCTGTGGTATATTCACACAATGGAATACTACTCTGCATTGAAAAACAAGGAACGCATGTAATATTATTCAAAATGGGTGAGCCTGGAGGACATTATGCTGAGTGAAATATCTCAGTCGCAAAAGGACAAATATTGCATTGCGCCACTGCTGTAAAATGGGACTGATATCAGGGTTGGGGTAAGACTAAGAAAAACTGGATAAATTGTGTATACTTCACTGAAACAGATGAGGGAGTGAATAATTTGAAAGCAATGTATGAAAAAAAAATTAAAAGCAATGTATGATAGGGTATTATGGTTATCACAAGAGTCCACAATTAAGGTTGCATAGTGGAATGTACTTGGGGCGGTGGGAGGGGTGCGGGGGGGATTGTGTACCAGGGAGGGAGTGTTTCTTTTACTTTTGAAAGAGAGGAGTGAACTGGAGAGAGGGGGAAGGGAGGGAGGGCTGGGCTGGGAGAGAAGTGCAGCAATGAATGAATGGAAATCCAAAATCTCTGTAAATGTTCAATAAAATTATTATTAAAAAAAAACAAACACCAACTCAAGTTGAAGGTTTAAAGAAAACTAAAATAAAATTTAAAAAGTCTAGACTTTCTTTAATAGGAATGTACCAGTATTGGTTTCTTAGTTTTGAGAAATATAATTAAGACTTTAAGATGAACTGGGTAAAGAGCATGTGGGAGCTTTTTCTACTGCTTTGGGACTTCTCCATTAATCTAAAATTATACCAGAATTAAAAGTTTTCTTTCATATATATACAAACACACAAGTGTATATATATTTTAGATACATTGATACAGTTTGAGAAACTGTATAAAAGTACCTGAGTTTTTAAAATTAGACTTTGGTATTTATATATTATGTATCAACTTTGTTGGATTCAAAAACGTTGTAGGCATGGACAATTTGTTACAGCACCTTTGAACGTTCTGAAGTATGTAAATTCCTTACACACAAGGCTATCTATTTTTGTCATTGTTTAGAAGTTGTTGTTGTTATGTGCCTTCGAGTCACCTGCGACTCATAGCAACCCTATGTACAACAGCCCTAAACCCTCCTCTATCCTGTGCCAACATCATTGTCTCTGACACACCTACCCCCATTACTCCAGTTACTGCATCAATCCATCTTATTGAGGGTCTTCCTCTCCTGTGCTGTCCCTGCAACCTCCCAAGCATAATGTCCCTCTCCAAGGACTGGTTCTCCTTGCAGCATGTCCAAAGTGTGTCAGAGAAATCTTCAAGGGGAGCTCTGGTGGCCTAGTGGCAAGAAACTGAACTGCAATCCCAGAGGAACACGGTTCGAATCCACCAGACGCTCTGCCGGAGAAGGAGGCGCAATATCCTCCTGTACCAGTCAGATCTGATTTGACGGTACACGTACACAAAATTTAAAAAAAAAAAAAAAAGAAAGAAAGCTTCAGAATCCTTGCCTTCAAGGAGCAGCCTGGCTTCACCTTCTCCAGTGCAAACCTGTTGAATTGTTTCGAGTTGTGTGAAATCATGTCGTTGCATCATTTGAGACACGTCAATGTATTTCTTTTCTATAAATAAAAGGGAGAAAGCAAGTTGTTTGTTCCATTCAACATATTTAATTTAGTGAAAATAAACAATACATTTTAATAAGATTTTTTCCCAAAAAGTTCAAAGCAAACATACCCCTTGAATAATGAGAAAATAAGCTTCTATCCCTGCCCCTCATCAGTACACTACCCTTCGTTTCCAAGTGCCCTTACCTTGTCTATATAAAGAAGAAAATTTCAGTAGCAAATGTGTAGAGAAATAACTGCTGAGATAGGACCCCTCCAGCAAATATAGAATCTCTGATCCTTGTGAAAAATCTCTCCCACGGCAGAGAAGGCTTTAAAGTATCCCACCTAAACTAGACATTTAAAAGTTGAAGGGAAAAGGAAGTGGTATTCTAGGTCATTGTTTTCAAAATGTGGCTCCCTAGTCAGCATCTTGTGGGAACTTGTTTGAAATGTGCATTCTCTGACCCTGCCCCAGTCCTGCTGCATCATAAACTTTTTAGGTGTTTTTTAAATATGCTTTCCTGGTGAATCTGATTTAAGTGAACATTTTGATTCTCAGGGATTACAGACTATGACCTGTGGATCCAATGTAGCTTACTTTCTCAGTACAGCCTATACACTCTGCAAAATTTTCATTCTTTTTAATTGTGATACTGTTTTTATTTAAGTGGTCACCTCTAAATCATAA